TAACTCCTCGTCTTCGCATTCTTGTTCAAAATCTTCGGCCTCCATTTCAAGCTAAAGGCTCTTCTGCACCTCCTCAGCTACCGCAAGGTCATTATTGACCGAGAGATGTGCGCTCGAGGATTCCACCTCGGATATGGTCTCTTCGGCTACTGGAGGCTCCTTTGAGAGGTCTTGAGAATCGCTTTGCGAGGACATTACTAATCGCTAAAACCGAAGGGTTCGAGATAAAAAGTCCCCTAAGGAACTAAGGTCACAAAACAAGGTGTACTATTGAAGCGAAGAATAGGTGGGGGACTGACCTCTGAAAGCTCGATTTGATCGAAGGCAGGAGTTTATCTCTCTAGAAAATCCGCCAGAGCTTCGCTACGATAAAGAATGCGTAAGAAATATGAACCAGGCAAAGGGTATTTATAGCCTCCAATATCCGGGCTTGGGCCGAAATCCGGGCCCCCAGTCCCCGGAATCATCATTACAAACCGTCGGTTTGGCCAACCAGTGACGCCCGCCCGATGAGAGCCAACGAGCACGCGCCACGTGGACACCACCTCCAACGGCTATATCCCAACGGTCATATTCCAGCTGTCATGCCCTAACGGCTCTCTTTCATAGACTAAGTTCCCTCCTCCAGACTCCTTCATCAAAAGAGCCCCCAGTTTAACAACGGGTAAACCCCTCAAGGCCCCTCAGCCCTCAGCATGTTGAAAGCCAGGGAACCCCTCATCTGTGGTTAGCCTCCGGCACACAGGGACAATCACCGACATTCATCAATAGAGATCATGCCTTCAGCCTCATTGGCTGGGGGACTACCCTCGGCAGTCCCCGGGATGCTCACTCATGCTTATCAACTATAGACAACTTCGAGGAATGCTGCCAGCAGTCACTCCCCTCAGCATCATCTGGACACCAACGAAGAGCCTTCGGCAAAATCAGCGATCAAACCCTCATATCACGGATAGCTCTCGGCGGCAACATTGCTCTTCGTCTCAAACCAAGGACTCATCTTTTTTATTCATCATTGGGGGAACTCGGTGCACTCTTTTTCCCCCATTAAGATTTTTTCCCAAAGGGTTTTTTCTAATGAGGTTTTTAACGAGACATCCCCCCAAAATGAAAGGAAAAGCACAAGCCTTCGCCCTCGTGAGGAAAGCAGGCTCGCCTCTACTCCTCTTCACCACATTACATGTGCCTCAAGGAGTGGGGGACTAGAGAACCCCTTCGAGAAATTCACAAAAATACAAAATTTTCCTTCGGCCCCAAAAAGTGGGGAACTGAGGGACTGCCCTCGGCAAACACACAGGCGCAAAACTCCTCACCACTTTTACAAACTACAGCAAGGCAGCATCAAAGGACAAACACAATTACTCCTTTTCCCTCAAGTACCTTTCGGCAAAAGGAGTGAGGGACTCCTGATGGAGTATAAGGCCAAGGAACCCCCCAGCCGACATACTTCCGCTATTACGTTCAGGCCCAACAGGCCCAAAACGGGCCAAGCCCAACATAGTGAAGCTCTAGGCAGCCCACGAGGCATGAGGGGGGTACCATCGGCCCCATGGCCGAAGTCCACCAGTGACAGAATAGGATTCATAAGCATCACAGGAGAATGAGGCTTAAAACCCAAGCCTTCGACACTAGGAGCCCTCGGCAAAATGAGGCCCCCGGTACGCAGAGCCTTCGGGCTGTTATCTACGGCCGAAGGCATCCTCCTCGACAGGATCTCCCATCCACATGCGCTGGATCAACGTACCAAGTACAAACGAAGAGCCCTCTCTCTTGTTTATTTGCTCTGACTTCTCTCTAGTTACTCCCCGCAGTAACCCCTCGGATAAGCTACCCCCTGGTACACTATCCATCAACAAGAAAATTGACCTTTTCGTGATCTTATATAAAAACGTAGAAATATAGTGTTGAAAAATAATATCTCCCGTACTGTATTAGTTGCAACATTGAAATTTACACTATTCATCTACTACTTTGACTACATTTTACTCCTTATGTCCCTTCTAACTATGCTAAGTTTGACCGGAACAAGGATTAATATAGTACAAAATGTGTTGTTGAGGTTTGTGCAAAGGAGAGAGAATTAACGGGAAGCACAAATTTTTTACTTAAAAGGCAAAGTGACAAAGTTAATGAGATATCCAGAAAAGGAAAGTTGACAAAGTTTTAAGGAACAAAAGAAGTATTTATTAATATATGTGAATTATTATTTTTTAAAAATATTGTTGATTTTGTCACATTACAAAGTTTCATATTCTGATTTTTATTTTTTTTAGTAAAAAAATACTCCCTCCGTCCCGCAATTAAGATACCACTTTCCTTTTTGGGCAGTCCCTAAATTAAGTTCATACTTCCTTACTTTCTTTATTTGGCTAATTATCTACATTAAAACAGTGTCAAACAGTGTCATACAGTGTTTGAACAGTGCAAAACAATGCCAAACAGTGTTTGAACAGTGCACTCCACAGTAAAGTCAAATTTATTTTCTTAATCTGTGTGAAGTCAAACAGGTAACTTGTTTCGGGGACGGAGGGAGTATTAAATATAAAGGATTTTTTCCCTAAATACTATTAAATAAATATTTCTGAAAGTAGTGTTGGGTTAAAAGTATATCCCAAAATACTGTTGGGATAACCACAGTTAAAGAACTACCACTTGAAGTGGCGGCTTATATGCCTAAAAAACCTACGCACGTACTCCGTACAAAGCAAGAGGGAGAAGAACTTGATTCATGGGTCCCAAATAAAATACGTAGTATCATGTTTTTTTAAAGTGGTATAACTTTTTTATTTGTACTCCGATTGCTATAAATCATATATCAAAAGGCATAACATTTATTATCTTTCATATGACATCAATATTGAATATATAAAAATAAAAAAAATAATTTGACACTTTAAAAATATCTATTTTTTAAAGTGCTGTCTTTTTTTATTTGTACTCCGATTATTATAAAAAAATATATCAACATTCTTAGATCTTTATTATCTTCCAAATGATATCAATGTTGTATATACTATCGTATAAAAATAAAAATGTATTCTACTATTGTTTGCTGTTTAGGATCCTTTATTATCAACAAAATAATTTTTGTAGTTTATATATGCAACATTGATATCATATGAAAGATAATAAAAAAGATGTCAATTTTGATATATAATTTGTAATTATAGAAGTACAAATTAAAAGATATACTCCCTCCATCACTTAAAACTTTGTCAACTTACTTTTTTTGGATGTCCCATATCATTAACTTTCCCATTTTCCCTTTTTTAGTAAATAATTTATGAATCCAGTTAATTCTCTCTCCTCTGTACAAATCTCAATCACACAGTTTTTTATTTATTAATCTTCATACCGGTCAAACTTGACAAAGTTTTAAGAGACGGAGGGAGTAACACTTTAAAAAAGTAGATATTTTTAAAGTGTCAAATTATTTATTAATTTTTATATATCCAATATTGTTGTCATATGAAAGATAATAAAAAATTATTAATTTTGATATACTTCGTATTATTTTATAAAACTGGAGTACAAATAAAAAAGTTATATCATTTAAAAAAACATGATACGAGTATTTTATTTGATATATGGTGGGACCCATAAGTCAACTCCTCATTCCTCCTAGCTTTTTACGTGCTTTAGTTTTTTTAAGCATATAAGCGGCCACTTCAAGCGGCGGTTCTTTAACTGTGGTTATTCTAACGGTATTTTGGGATCACTAAAAAAGATGTAAGCGACCACTTCAGCTAAGCATATAATCGGCCACTTCAGCTAAAAAAAGAGATATGTGATCACTAAGAGCTTCTCCAACAGACCACCAAATCACACACCAAAATGGTGTATTTGTCAAAAACTTGCTCCAATAGCTACACCATTCTTCACACCATCTCACCAAAATGGGGGAGGGAGTTTGGGTTGACGCCATATATGGCGCACACCATCCACTACGCCATTTTTTTTTTAATTTTTTTATTTCAAATGTGACCGCAACTTTTGGTTGTTATACTTTTGACCCATTTTTAGAACAACAAATTAGGATGTTTTTACTTTGACTGTAATTTGCTGGTCTGATCTGGTCCGGTATGATTTGGTCTGGTCTGGTCTGAACTGATGTGGTCAGGTCTGATTTCTTTATATTTTTATAACTACTCAAGTTTAGTCAAATCCGGTCTGATCTGATCTGGGACAAATCGTAATCCAAGTAAAAACCTCCGTATAGAACAAGTAATTAAAATTATTAATTTTATAGAAAATAAAAATATAATAAAATTTAAATCACACAATATTGTAAATAGAGTTTCAAATCCAAACAACATAATAATAGAATACAAATGATACTTAAGAAAAGTACATAAAAATAGTGTATTTTAGTTTGTATGTGTGAAATAATGTGTGAAATGTCAAAATAATAAATGAGCGGTTACTGTATAAATATATGATAATTACATACTTAAATAGAATAATGGTAAAAAGTTAGTAAAAAGAATAAAAAAGGAATATTCCTTTTTGCTGTTGAAAATGGTGTAAACTGTTAGAGATAAAGTAATGTATGATGTGATGTTTACACCATTTTAGTGTAAAAAATGGTGTAGACAGTTGGAGATAGCCTAACCCAACCTAGCTAGCTATATATACTCCTTCCGTCCCTTAAAACTTTGTCATCTTTTCATTTTTTGGACGTCCCAAAAAACTTTGTCACTTTCCCTTTTAATCAATTTTTTTGTGGTTTCTGTTATTTCTCTCTCCTCTGCACAAACCTCAACCACACTGTTTTTACTTTATTATTCTCCGTGCCGGTCAATTTTGTCAAAGTTTTAAGGGACCGAGGAAGTATTTAATTCCACCCACACCACCTCTATCATTCAATTCGGCCTGGCCTTTAGCGTGATTAATGGAAACCGGAAAGTACACAAATTGAACAACAACTCTGATTAGTCAATTCTATGTATCGACTTTATAATTAATACTATACCCACGATAGTACTCCGTATGTATAGAATATAGTTTAACAACATACATTTATAATTATAAGTTTAATTTCGTAGCTAATATAGCTCCCGGCCGGCCGGCCTCAAGAATGACGTACGTACTAGCTAGCTAGCTTTCACCAACCATTAAATTCGTCTCTCCATCTCTCGCTAGCTACCTATCTACTAGCTTTAAATCTCTAGCTGTATAGTACAGTATTTCATTTCTAATAATAAGCTTTAGTCTCTCTTAGCTTTCGCTAGCTAGTGATTTGATGGAGGGGATAATTGTTAATAATAATAATAATAAGGTAGACGAAGAAGCACAAGATTTCAGTGTGCAAGAGAAGCACAAGATTGAGCTCCTCAGAGCTCTTCTTCACAAACGAGCTGACCCTTCTTTTCAGGTTTGTTACCTAATTCCATCATTACCTTTCTCATCCTAATTTATTTTATCTTCACATTTGATTGATTATACGCAATTTTTATTCCATGTCTCAACACAATGGAAGCTGGGATATACTCCCTTCGTGCTATTGGACTTTGCTAATTTTCATTCCAAAAAATCGTTACTTTCCCGTTAAAGCAACTAATGTGTGGTTCTGCACGTTTCTCTCCTCTGCACAAATCAGAACCACACAGTTTTTACTTTTCTTATTTCTCACTTACTTTCTACTTTGCAAAGTTCAACTAAGCGGAGGTAGTATAGTTTATGGACCAATGATGTTTGAAGGAAGCAAAAGAAACTGTTGAGTTACATTTCTGTGTTCTTTTATTTGGGTCGGTGGTGGAGGGATATTCGATCTTTCACCATGCTAGATCACATACTCCCTCCCGTTCTCAAACAATTTCCCACTTTCCTTTTCGGGAAGTCTCGAAATTAACTTCACATTTCTTCTTATTTCCTTATTTGGTAAATTATCTACACCAAAACAATGCAAAACAATGTCAAACAATGCACTCTATAGTAAAGTCAAATTTATTTTCTTAATCTATGTGAAGTCAAACTGTGAACCTCTTTGAGAATCGGAGGGACTATATTGCTAGAATATACTCCCTCCGTCCTTTAAAACTTTGCCAAGTTTGACCGGCACGGAGATTAATAAAGTAAAAACTGTGTGGTAGAGGTTTGTGCAGAGGAGAGAGAATTAACTGGAACCACAAATTCTTTACTTAAAAAAGAAAGTGGCAAAGTTAGTGGGACATCTAAAAAAGGAAAGATCGGCAAAGTTTTAAGGGATGGAGGGAGTACATATTTATAAAGGGATTATTCTCCAAATAGGAGTAAAAAGGTTTTTCCCAAAATAGGATTGTAATATTTTTATTCTTAAATAAGAAAAATTTCTTCAAATATATAAAAAAGGAATATTATATTAGCTCGATCGCTCGCTCTAGGCCGGCATTGAGATGAATTGACCCATGACCCAGTCCAGTTTTGATCGCCGCCGTGTAATAGTAGATATTGAAAATGCATGCATGCATTATTTTTGTCTTGGCAAGATAATGATCGCCGTGTAATAAAATTTTGTCCTAATAGCTAGTAATTAATTAAGTTTGAATTTTGTTTTGTACGGGCCGGGCGGGCTGTGTGCAGGCGGTTGATGATTACACATTGAGAAGGTTTCTTGGAGCGCGTGAGCTGGATGTTGAGAAAGCTGCAGCGATGGTGATAAAATACCTGAAATGGAGAAGTGCATTTATGCACATTTCGGCGTCGGAGGTTCCCAACGAGATAGCACAGAACAAGATGTTCATGCAAGGAGTGGATAAACAAGGCCGCCCCATTGCCGTTGTTTTTGGTGCTAGGCACATCCAAAATAATAATAAAGGCGGCCTCCATGAATTTAAACGTATGTATCTATCTATATATATACATATAGTAAGCAAGCCCGGCCCCTTCTATTTTCATCCTCCCACCTCCCATATCATACATACATACATGCATCCTCAACACCGGTACAAAAAAGTTTTAAAGATAATATTTTACATTATAAATATAAGCAATTTTAAAATTTGGGCTTGCTCAGAGCCCGGTAGACCACCCCTCCAACTCCGCCCATGTGCATGCTGTAAAAGTAAGAAATACAAATTTATCAAGATCACACCAAAATAGACAAAACAAATTCAATCCAATTAAAAACATTTTTAATATATTAATAATGTGAAAATATTTACTCCCTTTGTCTCAAGTCCATCACAAGTCTACACCAACAAATATTTACCTATTTCCAATGAAAGAATAAGTATATGACGACTAATATTCAATTCATGTGTGGCCGGCCGCACCAAAGCGGCCGTCCGGCCGACGGCGTTTGACCGTCTTCCCGGTATAATTTTTTATTAAAATTTTTATGACATGCTTTTCATGAAGTCTAGTTTATCGAAAAAAATCAGCTAAAAACTCAATCCGGAAGGTCATCAAATGATTTTTTGAAGTTGACTGCGTTTTGTGTGTGTGTAATTTTGCACAGTTAACTTCAAAAAATCATTTGAATACCTTTGGGATTGAGTTTTTAGCTGAATTTTTTGGTGAATAAACCAGATTTCATGAAGAACATGTCATAAAAATTTCATCAAAAAATTCCACCGGAAAGACGGCCAAACGCCGTCGGCCGGATGGCCTCTCTGGTGCGGCCGGACGCACCAGAAAACTACTAGGTATATGACTAGAATAAAAGTAATGGACCAAATTATATATGATTTAGTGATTATCAATGTAACTTTCATGATCATGGTAACTTTTGTGATTATCCATAGTAAATTTCTAGCAATAGTAATATTTTCATTCATTAATTATATTTGAGTAATATTTCCAATCCTAAAACGATATTTTGAATTGGCATGGTGCAACGGTGGCCGTGCATAACGCGATACATGTGTCAAGTTTGAGATCAACCATAAGTACGTAGTCAGTCAGTCATTTAAGGGATGGTACCTTCTCATTAAAGGCAAAAGAGCCCTACCTATCAACCAAAAATCCCATTGGCATTGAATATATACCAAAATTAGCAACTGATCGTGGGTATATATACATTCACCGGCATAAAAATAATCCTTAATTGAATCCAAGATCTTAAGTAATAAAGTATTAAAAACAAGTATGCAACAATTGTCATTAATAGTCTATAAATAGGAAATCCCAATAATAATACTCCATAGTATTGTCTCCGTCTCATTTATAGATTTTCATCTACTATTCTCCGATCAACGTAAAATCTTATTAACCTTTTATTTTATACATAATATATCAAACTTTTATTAAATTTGAGTTTTTCTTTTGCGACTTTATAACACATTTAACATACTTTCTGTTGAATATGTAAATTTATTTACTAAAAAAATCTAATTACAGACATGAGTCATTAATTTTATGATCATTCAAACATCAAAAATCACGTGGAAACCGACTATGTCTTATTGAAAATCACTTATAATGATATCACAATAATCATGAATTGCACATCAGACTCAAACCTAACATATATTACCTGGCCTATGTTTTAACTAGAAGTTAACTAATAAAAACTATTTGATGAAGAAGGAATCGTGCAAGCTTGAATCGACAATGATCCAATTAGGAATATAATAATGATTAATTGATAAGAAGTGGAATAATAATAATAATTAATTGATAAGAAGTGGAATAATAACAATAATTACTTGATAAGAAGTGGAATAATAATGTATGAGTAATAGTGATTGATCCTGAGTGATTGTGTGTTACATGGGTCATGGGTGGCTCACTATGTATTTAATATCTATTTTTCTTATTCCCCGAGCACTAGCTACAACTCCTCACCTAAATAGGTGGCACTACCAACGAAATAGGCCTTCCTTTGTTATTATCCAATCTTCAATCTCTATCTCTAATTTGACTTGTTCATCTAATGATCAAACTGCACACACTGTCTCTACCATCAATGGGGTGGACGCTTAGTTGCTGAAATTCTCTAGCCCATATGAAATAATTATTTCACGGGCCCAACATTTGCCGCCTTTCGAGAAGTTGAGGCGTATGGACGCACATGCCAACCCATTAAGCATCAACTTTGTGAAATCTTGAAAACATCTATACATGTCATCCTTGAATATTGCCCACATAAACTCGTCATCTGTCCCATGAGTCATGCTGTCAACCTGCCTAGACGCTTTTGTTAACTCGTCACTTTTTTGATGAAATGTTTCCTTCAACCTGTCACTCGTCTGTTGAAACGACTTCGTTAATTTCCGTGCAAGTAGTTTTTGATCTAATTCGTCTCTTTGACTAAAGCGATGATGAACGAAAGCTGGTCTCCTATCATCTTCCTCCTAATTTGTGCTCATGATCATGACTAGGCAATGCTGACGAGTTAAAACTTCGTCCAGGGTGATATCGACACTTCTGTTGGCCAAGGGAACTTCGTCCGTTGCTAGAGATGACTAGTCGGGTTTCATGAGCGTAATCCAAATCCTGCAAAAACTTTGACTACTATTTTGTTTATGATCTTAGTAATATCGTCGACATGAATATTTATGATTTATGTCAATGTCGTTCGTATTGTCTCCTTGTGTTTTGGAGCTTGTGTCGTCATGCTCGTGGAGCACATGCGTCTGTTGTGTATTTCTGTAGTTTTGGCCAAAACATTGTGGAGAATCAGTGGTGTTTATACTCATGTTTAGCGTACATGAAAACCCCACTTCTTCCCCTAGAATTCTGTAAACCCTCGTCAATTGTGTTTTGACGTTTTTGTAAGGCTTTGTTTGATGTATGTTAGGATTCTGTCATCGTTAGTTGTTGATTGTTCATGCGTAAAAAGAATTTGCTAAGGAAAGTAATAAATTAAGAACACGTATATGAAACTAGATAAATATCTATCGTCAAAACATGTCTGTAGTCAGACGATTTAAATCATGTCGTCAGGTTTATCATCAGACGACATGCCCCCCTGTCTGACGATTTCAGTCATGTCGTCTGGTTTATCTCGTCACAGGAGTGACAACAATATATAAAAGAATATATTAAACTAAAAATGAAACAACTCTAAGGGTACCGTATTGCAGCTCTTCAGAACCTGTCTGTCATCGAACGACATGCCCCCTGTTCGACGACTTCGATCATGTCGTCTGATCTATCTCATCACAGAAGTGACTACTCGTTCTTCAGGTCTCGAATATGGTTTTCCATGCTTGTAATCATGCCTCCTAGGAGATTCTGATTTCCCATGCCCCCCTTCGTGCGCAATTTGTCTTCGATAGGATCGTAAGTCTTCTTCTAAATGGATGAAAGCCAATGTCTTTGCTTGGACATCTTCGAAGGACCGACAAAGGTATTTCGTCAGTTTGTGGTACAACTCTGAATTTTCATACAAACCTCTTCTGAATGCCTCGACGGCTGTTGGTATGTCACATCTAGAAATTGACACCTTCTCTTTGTTGAATCGGTGTAGATAGTTCCTCAAAGACTCGCTCCACTTTTGGACTACCGATAGAGGTCACTAATCTGTTTTTCTAGAATCCAACTACTTGTAAATTGTTGACTAACTCCGCAAATGAGTTGACGCCTTCATTCGGCAGATTGACGAACCACGTCAACGTTGGTTCTGTCAATGTTGTCCCAAATGCCCTGCACATACAAGTCTGCCGCTGCTCTGGTCTGACCAAGATGGCAAGAATCTGCTGCTTGTACTGAGCGACATGTTCCAGGGGGTTGGTAGTTCTATCGAATAATCTCATCGAGGGGGAAGCAAACTGTCTCGGAACCTCGACATCAGTGATATGCCGTTTGAACGGAGAATCTGTGTAACATGCATGGGAAGCAATTTCCATCGGAGGTGGTATTCCGGGTATGCCACTGATCCTTTCCCGCATCTCTCTCAGCTCCTCCATGATGATGACCATAGGGTCTTCTGGACCTGTCTGCATTTGTCTCGCCGCCGGGACTGGTGGCGTCATCACTCGGGTCACATCATGCCTGGTTGGTGAGGGTATGACGATGACTTCAGACTCTTGTTGTCTCTGGTTGTTGATGTCGACATATAGAGGGATGTCGACATATCGAGGGATGTCGACACGGTCTGGAACTCGTCATCTCTGAGGTTCCGGACATAGACTGTGAAACATGTTCCTTCTGGGATTCTAGAGAGGAACAGATCGGTTTGAAGGCCCCGGATCTCCAGGTGCGCTGGCTCCTGAATGAGGGATAAAAGGCTCTGTAGGGGCTGAAGCGACAGTCGAAGTCGGCATTTGTTGGTTGATTGAATGCAAACCCGACTTCCCACCTAAATAGGTGGCACTACCAACGAAATAGGCCTTCCTTTGTTATTATCCAATCTTCAATCTTTATCTCTAATTTGACTAGTTCATCTAATGATTAAACTGCACACATGCTCTCTACAATCAATGGGCCGGACGCCTAGTTGCTGAAATTCTCCAGCCCTTTATGAAATAATTATTTCACGGGCCAAACAGTCTCCTCGATCCAAGATTCAAGATAATTGGAATATCCGGCCTAATCAGATATAGATGTTGCAAAAATTTATTAGCATGCGAGAACTTTAAAATTTGATTCAGGCCTATAAACCTCGACACACCTAATCATAATCAAACTGAGCATCAAGAGATTGACACAAAACCACACACTCCATGAAAATTCTGGCCCAATCAAATAGCCACATGTCCCGTTTGACAGAACACCAACAATATTAACCCATATCATGTGAGTTTGATGAAAGTCAAGAACAAGCTTCCAACCCATGCAACTCATCCACTCAGTGGCAGTGGCTCGGGATGGCCTGGGGACATATCATCGGTACCATCATAAATGAGCAAGACAATATGATGTTTTTTATATATAAATACTGCATGATTTTCTCACAAAGCCACTCAAGCATGATGTCTTTGCAAAGATACGGAGTCTACTTGGTGTTTCTAAGTCAAGTTTAAGAGGAGATGTTAGAAATTAAACTTGGCTTAGCCCAATAATTGGGTCCATTGGAAGAGAACTTATTGGGCTAGTAGTCGTATGAGAAATAATAAATTGGTTAGCCCATAAGTTAGACTTAGTAGAGAAAGGTCTAGAGTACTCTTTAGTTAATGTATCTAAATATAACTAGAATATTCCTAAGCTAGAATCCTATAGAATATTGTAGAATGTTAAAGATATAAGAGTGCTTATAAGGATCTTATGAGACTTATAAATAGAGCATTCCTCACTCATTTGCAAGACAAGCCAAAAGCTCCAAATCAATAAAAGTTCCAAGTTCTCCGAAAATCATCTCTCTCTAAAATTCTCTCTTCCACACACAACCACCCGAATATAGTACTCATGAACTACTTTCTTCCAACATATTCTTGTCATCTTATTAATCGGTTGTTGTTTTCAGGTTATGTGGCTTTCGGGTTGGACAAATTATGTGCAAGGTTCATATAGCAAGACTAATTACCCACTTCATTTTTGTGACAAGAATTATAATAATATATTGCAATTAATTTGGGATCGGACATTTATTTTATTTGTGGTAATATTTAGGACGTCTCCGGGCGCGGAAAAGTTTGTGGTGATAGGTGATCTTCGCGACTTTGGGTATGCCAACAGTGATATTAAGGGATACATTGCTGCTTTATCGATCCTACAGGTTAAGTGTTTATCTTTTCCGACAGAATGTTTTTATTTGGACTTTTTTCGGTCCCATATCAAATCAGACTAGAGACTTAAACAAATCAGATCAGATGAAACAAATTAGATTTCTATAGTTATAAAATACACAATAACCATTCATGCATTTATAACAATTGTCGGTATAAACATTTGCCTATATGGTTTTAGTTTTAAAATGCGATAAATGACAGGACTTCTATCCAGAAAGACTTGGAAAAATGTTTATTGTTCATGTGCCATACCTGTTCTGGACATTGTACAAGGTTGTGCACCCTTTCATCGATGTTAATACCAAGAAGAAGGTTAGGCTCTTTACTAGATGCTTTACAATTTCAATTTTATTCTTTATTCAGTCTACATGATGTTTAAAACGAACTCATGAAGTCATGATTCCTTAATGACTCAACTCTCATTTCTAATTAAAGAGTACAGAACATAATTCTGAATAAACGAATTACTAATTCTTTTATGTGAAAAAATTCAGTGTGATGTACATACAATTTGAACGTCGTGGCCTATATGAAAGTATTTCGAACATTATGTTCCCACTTGAAATATGAGTAAATCGGATCATCAGAGTTTTTGAATATATGTTTACTGAAAACCATCTTACAACTTATCATGAGCCTCTTGCTGATAGAGTTCATAATGGTGAATGTGACACTCTACCAATAAGTGAGGGTGCAATGTCTACAAAATGCACCTTGTTTTGTTATTATTTCATCATTTATTTATATGCAACTATGTAGTGCGTACTCACATAAGGCATACCTTGTTTAACATGGTATATTTTTGTTGAAATAAGTGAATAATATATTGATTTTTGTTGTCTAGCAATATAAGAGGTGAGACTAGAAACCAAGAAAATGTCATTTATAAAAACATCGGAAAAAATAGTTTATGAATTAGAAATTTTGGTACTAACCAATGAGCACAACAAATTAAATGCTTAATGAAACGGTTAGTAACACAAGAGGGGGTGAATTGTGTGTGTGGAACTGTGACAGTTTTGTTGGAAAAATGTGTTAAAATTGCATTAAATGGTCATTTTGGGGCAATTATTTAAGTGGGGTACACTTCCGATTTGGGTCGGGTCAAACTAGTTTCGGATTTTTTTTGTTAAGGGCTACAATTCGATATATGGTATGCTCAAAACGGATAACGAGTGAATGAGAAATTGATTCTCGAAGTTCACTCGTTGAAATGGAAAAACTGGGAAAATGATGGGTTTCTAGTGTGTTTTATCCCACACCGGAAAACTCAAGGTATTTTCACCCCCTTATAAAGGGAAGCCTCTTTTAAAGAGTTGAGATTCTTAAAGGTAAATGCTCTCTCTTATGCGCAGAGGGGGTGCCGATCAAATCCCGAAACGGAGAAGAAAAACTGTGACTCGTGTGCGCGGGCGACCTGCGGACACGAATGTCATCCGAAAACCTATCATTCAAAGATACGGTCTAATTTTTTCTTCTTCCCGTTACGGTCTCAGTTTTCTGGAGCAGAAGACGTGAGCGTCTCTGGTGGCTTCCGAACAGAGAACCAGAGACCACCTCTGGTGGGGTGTTCTGGTGTCTTCCCAACAAAAGGCCAGAGATGACCACCTCTAGTGAGGTGTTCTGGTCGCGCAAAGTGCATCTCTGTTGAGGTATTCTGGTCGCGCATCAGAACTCCTCCAAACCGTTACGCAAGTAAATGTCCAACGTTCTTATCTTTTAATGCTGCGTTAAATGGACAGTTTATGGACGATTCAATGCCCAACGGACTGGTCATTGATGTCCAACGTTCAGGTCCATTAACACCTCATTTAACACACAACAAATCCTCCTATAAATAGCTGACAAGTGCTTTGCAACAAGACACAACACACAATACATTCCTCACGTTTTCTTGAGCTAAAAACACTTCTAGCTACTCCGAAAATTCCCAAGTGTTCTGCTATTGTTCCAGTTCGCCGGGACTTTCGTTTGTTTGCTCAAACGATCGTTTGTTATCCACCGTATCCTGGGAACGGTCGTTGCAACCCTCCTAGCACCGTGGGAGGCGACGAATACGTTTAAAGGACATCGTGCGTAGCACGAGCTCTGGCTAAAATCTGCTCCATCTCATTTCTATTTTTCGTTAGCTATTTTATTTATTAATTAATTATTTTTATTAATTAATAGTTCTTCGTTTCCGAAACACACCCAACAATCTTAAAACGTATTCGGTGATTGTTCTACTCCGGTAAACAATCCTAAAACGTATTTTCCTTGGTTGTTGTACTGCGGTAAACAATCTAAAAACGTAGTTTGTCACTTCGGTGAACGAACTTATTTTTTGTGTTTTCGGAAAACGTTGAAAACGTTAAAATGGCTTCACAAGAAATTGGAAATGTTGGTGGGCAGAACGTGCCAAACAATAATCACTCTGAAAGTGCAGCACCGGTGAACAATGGTTCACAACGCGGTGTATCTACTTGGGGCAACCAAGGGGCAATTCCTATGGTTACCGTGCCAAGCAACTCTGTGGAGAAACCCTAAAAATTTAACGGGTTAAACTTCAAGAGGTGGCATCAAAAGATGCTATTCTATCTCACTACTCTCGGTCTTGCAAGGTTCTTGACCAAAGATGCACCGATAGCAACCGGGGGTGAGGTGGATGCGCAATCTTTCAACGCGGTTGAAGCTTGGAAGCATTCTGACTTCCTTTGCCGAAACTACGTGTTGACCGGGCTGCATGATGCTTTGTACGACGTGTATAGCAAATTAGCTATGGCTAAGGAGCTATGGAATGCTTTGGACCACAAATATAAAAGCGAGGATGCCGGTGCAAAGAAATTTGTTGTCGTCGATTCCTTGATTTTAAAATGGTGGATTCGAAGACGGTCTTGAGTCAAGTTGAGGAAATGCAAATGATCTTAAACGAAATTCGAGATGAAGGAATGACAGTTAGTGAGTCTTTCCAAGTGGCGTCAATTATCCATTTATTGCCGCCGGCTTGGAAGGATTTCAAGAACTACCTTAAGCATAAACGAAAGGAAATGAACTTGGAGCAATTGATCCTCCGTCTGCGGATTGAAGAGGATAACCGGAAGAACGATGGGAAGCTCCCAATCGTTAACGGCGCTAAGGCCAACGTGGTGGAGCATGCAAAAGGCTCCAAAAATAAAAATAATGGGAAGAGCAAGCTCGGTCCCAAGGGAGACGTTTCCAAGACGAAGTTCAATGGAAAATGCATCAATTGCAACAAGAACGGACACAAGTCCGCGGATTGCAAGGCACCAAAGAGGAAGAAAGATTCTCACGTGAACTTGGTGCAAGGTGGGCAAAAGGATGAAGACGTCATCTTGGCGGCCGTGGTGACCGAGGTCAACCTCGTTGGATCCAATTCCAAGGAGTGGTTTGTGGAAACCGGTGCAACCCGGCATATTTGCTCAAACCGGGAGTTATTCACTACTTTTGAGCCATCAAATGGTGAGAAAGTGTGGATGGGAAACTCAGCTCATTCCACGGTTGAAGGCGTGGGCAAAGTGGTCCTGAAGATGACTTCGGGCAAGGAGTTGACTCTAAACCAAGTGTTGTTCGTTCCGGAGATACGCAAAAACCTGATATCCGGCTCGTTGTTGAACAAACATGGCTTTCGCATGGTGTTTGAGTTGGACAAACTAGTTTTATCTAAATCGGGAATGTATGTGGACAAGGGATATGCAGTTGATGGGCTGTTTAAGCTCAATGTAATGACTATTATTAATAATAATAATAAATACCTTCTGCTTACTTGCTTGAGTCTTCCAATGTGTGGCATGGTAGACTAGGACATGTTAATTTTAATTCTATACATAGATTAATTAACATGGAACACATTTCTAAATTCACAATTGATGTGAAGCACAAATGTGAAGTTTGTGTAGAGGCAAAACTAACGAAAACGTCTTTCAAATCGGTTGAAAGAAAAACGGAACCACTTGAATTAATTCATAGTGACGTTTGTGATTTTAAATCAATACAAACACGTGGCGGTAATAAATATTTTATTACCTTTATCGATGATAGCACTCACTATAGCTATGTTTATTTATTAAAAAATAAACACGAATCAATCGATAAATTCATTCTTTATAAGAATGAAGTGGAAAACCAACTTAATCGACGGATTAAAGCGGTTAGAAGTGATCGAGGTGGTGAGTATGAAGCACCAATTGGTGACTTTTGCGCGAGCGTGGGTATAGTAAATGAACGTACTGCACCCTATTCACCTCAATCAAACGGTGTTTCCGAACGAAAGAATCGCACATTGAAAGATATGATGAATGTGATGCTAGTAAGTTCGGGCCTGCCACAAAATATGTGGGGCGAAGCAGTCTTGTCAAGCAATTACCTTTTAAATAAGGTTCCCCAGAAAAAATATGATAAAACTCCCTACGAGTTGTGGAAAGGCAGACGGCCTTCCTATCAATGTTTAAAAGTGTGGGGGTGTCTTGCAAAGGTGCTTGTACCAACACCTAAGAAAATAAAAATAGGTCCAAAAACGGTGGATTGTATTTTTATTGGATATGCATAAAATAGTAGTGCTTATCGGTTTTTAGTGTACGATTCCAATAATCCGGATGTACATAAAAACACTATTATTGAATCAAGGAATGCTTCATTCTTTGAAGACGTATTTCCATGCAAGTCCAACGAAGGACCAAGCACGTCAAAACGAACATTTGACGTAGCTATGGAAAATACTAGTGAGGGCTCCGGAGAAGAACCCGAACCCAGACGTAGCAAACGTGCTAGAGTTGAAAAATCCTTCGGACCGGATTTTCTCACATACTTGGTAGAATTTGACTCGGATATTCTAACATGTATGGTAGAAAATGAACCGGATTTTCCAACATGTTTGGTATAAAATGAGCCACGGACTTATACGGAAGCCGTGACGTCTACCAAAGGTCCTATGTGGAAAGAAGACATCAAAAGTGAGGTGGATTCTATCCTTAAAAATCACACATGGGAATTGGTTGATCTTCCTCCGGGAAATAAACCTTAGGGATCCAAGTGGATTTTTAAACGGAAAATGAAACTTGACGGTTCTATCGATAAGTACAAGGCCAGACTTGTAATCAAAGGATACAAGATAAGCAACATGAGGGCCATGATTACTTTGACACGTATTCTCCTGTGACGAGAATAAATTCCATTAGGATGATACTAGCAATTGCCGCATTGCGGAAATTGGAAGTTCATCAAATGGACATAAAAACCGCTTTTCTAAATGGCGATATAGACGAAGAAATCTATATGGAACAGCCCGAGGGCTTTCGTGTTCCTAGACAAGAAAGGAAAGTGTGTAAATTAAATAAATCATTGTACGGATTGAAACAAGCCCCTAAACAGTGGCACAAAAAGTTCGATCATGCATTGTTAATTAATGGGTTTAAAATAAACGCAAGTGACAAATGCGTCTATGTGAAGAGCACGGTAGATGGCTATGTCATTTTATGTTTATACGTGGATGATATACTCATCGTGGGTAGCAATAATCTAATGATTAATTCTACCAAAAACATGTTAAATTCTAAATTTGACATGAAGGATATGGGACTGGCCGATTTAATCCTTGGGATTAAAATAATTAGGGGACGAGACGGTCTTACGCTAAGCCAATCCCATTACATTGATAAAATCCTTACGAAATTTAATAAGGATGATTATCAAGAGGCAAAGACTCCATTAGATAAAAACGTACAACTTACCAAAAATCGCGGAGAGTGTATTTCTCAACTAGAATACGCTAGGATTATTGGAAGCTTGATGTATCTCATGAGTTGTACCAGGTCTGATATTACCTTTGTGGTTAGTAAGCTAAGTAGATATACTAGCAACCCCGGTGAGGAACACTGGAAGGCAATAGTAAGGGTTTTGAGGTATTTACGTAAAACCCAAAACCTTGGACTGCACTATGGAAGATATCCAGCTATACTTGAAGGGTATAGCGACGTTAGTTGGATATCCGATATTAAGGACTCAAAGTCCACAAGTGGATATGTTTTCACTTTGGGAGGTGCAGCCGTGTCATGGAAATACTCAAAACAAACATTAATAGCTAGATCCACGATGGAGTCTGAGCTAATAGCCTTGGATAAGTGCACTGAAGAGGCTGAATGGCTACGCCATTTTCTCGAGGATATTCCAAGTTGGGAAAAGCCTGTCCCTCCAATATGCATACATTGCAATTGTCAAGCGGCAATCGGAAGGGTACAGAGCAATATGTACAATGGTAAGTCTAGACACGTTCGTCGTAGACATAACACCATTAAACAACACCTCACAACGAGTGTTATCACTGTTGACTACGTGAAGTCAAAGGATAACATAGCGGATCCGCTAACCAAGGCATTGGATAGAGAATTGTTGGAGAAGTTGTCACGAGGAATGGGACTAAAGCCCGTAAATTGAAAAGTTCTATAGGGGATACCCAACCTAGTTGGTCCTAGGTTCAAAAGGGACAACTAAATTATAGAGCGAAGGATGGTCACTGTGGGGGTCCCGGACTCCTACCCAATCCTCGTTTAAAATAGTGACTCCCGCACGAGGTTAGCAAAAACGTTTGCTTTAATGATTCTAAAATGTTGATCTACTCGATAACATTGGAAGAGTATGCGGGATACTCGTGAAAGAATCACCTATGTGAGAGAGAAGAGGGCCGCTTCAAAGGAGAACTGTAAAGGCTCAGTTCTTTAGAAACTCTTGCAGAATGAGGACGGTGACCCATGGCCAAAACGGGCACACCCATGAGAACAGAACAAAGTTGGAAGGTTCTTGTGTAAAGATAAGTCAATGTTTACATGACGGCAGTATAGTTCAATGACATCGAGTCTACTAGACAGCCAGTAAATAAACGTGTCTTTACCGAGGAAGGTTCAAAGGATAAAACCTACCTCTCCGTATGCAAGGATCATCCGGTGAACACAACGTGTCCTCCTATCTTCGTGTCTTTTTAAGTCTCGAAAATCAATTTTCATTCATGTGGGGGATTGTTGGAAAAATGTGTTAAAATTGCATTAAATGGTCATTTTGGGGCAATTATTTGAGTGGGGTTGTAACACTTGAGATTTAATTTAAACGGATTAATAGTACTACTCATACCAACAAGATGCATCTCCTTTTAAGGGAGCTCATTAGTCAAGAACTCCAAAGTTAAGCGTGCTTGGACGGGAGTAGTCTTGGGATGGGTGACCCCTCGGGAAGTTTCTCAGGGCGCGCACGAGTGAGGACAAAGTGCGCGGAAAAGGCTAGTGGCGGTTTGTGAGGACAGTACTAGAGGTCCAGAGTAACTACCTCGGGGCCTACGGGGCCGGGGTGTTACAAATGGTATCAGAGCAACCCTGCGACAGTGTGCTGATTCGTTGGATATCGGGCGGGCACTTAGCAGGGGAAAAGATTCTGGGATTTGATTGAGATTTGAGATTGGTTGATGGGCGCAACGAGGACGTTGCGTTCCTAAGTGGGGGTGATTGTAACACTTGAGATTTAATTTAAACGGATTAATAGTACTACTCATACCAACAAGATGCATCTCCTTTTAAGGGAGCTCATTAGTCAAGAACTCCAAAGTTAAGCGTGCTTGGACGGGAGTAGTCTTGGGATGGGTGACCCCTCGGGAAGTTTCTCAGGGCGCGCACGAGTGAGGACAAAGTGCGCGGAAAAGGCTAGTGGCGGTTTGTGAGGACAGTACTAGAGGTCCAGAGTAACTACCTCGGGGCCTACGGGGCCGGGGTGTTACAGGGGTACATTTCCGATTTGGGTCGGGTCAAAGTGGTTGCGGATTGTCCTTGTTAAGAGCTACAATTCGATATATGGTACGCTCAAAACGGATAACGGGTGAATGAGAAATTGATTCTCGAAGTTCACTCGTTGAAATGGAAAAACTGAGAAAATGATGGGTTTCTAGTGTTTTATCCCACACCGGAAAACTCAAGGGATTTTCAATCCCTTATAAAGGGAAGCCTCTTTTAAGGAGTTAAGATTCCTAAAGGTAAAGGTTCTCTCTTACGCGCAGGGGGGGGTGCCGATCAAATCTCGAAACAGAGAAGGAAAACCGCGACTCGTGTGCGCGCGTGACCTGCGGGCACGAATGTCGTCTGAAAACCTATCATTCAAAGATACGGTCTAATTTTTTCTTCTTCCCGTTACGGTCTCAGTTTTCCAGACCAAAAAACGTGAGCGTCTCTGGTGGCTTCCGAACAGAGAACCAGAGACCACCTCTGGTGGGGTGTTCTGGTGTCTTCCCAACAGAAGGCCAGAGATGACCACCTCTGGTGAGGTATTCTGGTCGCACGTCAGAACTCCTCCAAACCGTTACGCAAGTAAATGTCCAACGTTCTTATCTTTTAATGTTGCGTTAAATGGACAGTTTATGGACGATTCAATGTCCAATGGACTGGTCATTGATGTACAACGTTCAGGTTCATTAACACCTCATTTAACACACAACAAATCCTCCAATAAATAGCTGGCAGGTGCTTTGCAACAAGACACAACACATAATACATTCCTCACGTTTTCTTGAGCTAAAAACACTTCCAGCTACTCCGAAAATTCCCAAGTGTTCTGCTATTGTTCCGGTTCGTCGGGACTTTCGTTTGTGTGCTCAAACGATCGTTCATTAGCCACCGTATCCTGGAAAACGGACGTTGCAACGCTCCTAGCATCGTGGGAGGCGACGAATACGTTTTAAGGACATCGTGCGTAGCACGAGCTCTGGCTAAAACCTGCTCCATCTCATTTCTATTTTTCGTTAGCTATTTTATTAATTAATTAATTATTTTTATTAATTAATAGTTCTTCGTTTCCGAAACACACCCAACAAGTTTTTCGCCAAGTTCTAGTGTGGGATATAGGGTGAACAAATCGACATCCCTCGAAGGAATTTTAACAACTTCACTATAAAGCCTTTTGTGGTTACAAGATAAACTCTTCTAGTCTACCCTTGAGCCACCCCAACTCTATCCTCTCTAGGAAGAGTTATGCTTCTCTACCTTTCACGAAGAGAGTCTCTCAGCTTTACAACAAAGCTCTCACAACACACTAACCAACCTGAGCATGCTACACTTAGCTAATCCTCAAACCCCGATTACAATATGAAGAAAGGAAAAAGAAACTATATCTAGAACTCTTATGAGCAGGTTCAGGTGTCTTGGACTTTTTAGTTCTTTCATGAATATCTCTCGATGATAGCTCGATCAAGCACACCCTTCTTCATTTTTATCTTCAATATATATAGAGCTTGCCTTGGTACTCGACGTTGAGACTTTCTTTGTATGGTCATGCTCTAGACTTCGAGACTTTCCTTGATATAATTTAAAAAGGCTTTCCCTTTATTCAAAGATTTTCTAGCAGCTCAATTATGGTAATTCTCGGTCAACCATAACCAAAAAGGCATGTAATCAAATGACAGTTCTCAAGAATAGATTCAAGGAAAATAATTTATTCTCACAATATGTGGCGGATTATATATATGGATAATAAACCAAACAAAGATTGCTCTTTAATCTGTATAGTAATTAAAGGGATATATTACTCTTAATAAATATGAGAATGTGACGGTCAACTTTCAAATGTACTCTTGTATTAGCAAGTAGAGATTCTTTCCATAAAGTATTTAGCTATATATAAGCCAGCTCCTTAAGTGAGTGTCTAATCATGCATAGAAAGAGACTTAAATTGTACCACGTATATTAAGAGTATGTATGATATTATAACATTGATAGTACGTAGTTCTATCCGTTGATCCACCTGCACCTTAGTCATTAATAAAACACTAACATCCGTTTAGACCTTAGGATAGAACTGTCATTTGTTCCTGCAGGGTTAGTCATCAACAAAACCTGATGCTCATCAACAATGTTGTCACATACACTTTATTATTAATTATCATATAACCAAAGCGTCCATTGTTAAGTTTATTGGTAAGACCTGCCTGCATTTTAAAATGATGAGCATAACTTTGAAATAATAAAATGTGGTGGCATGCAGATCGTTTTTGTTGAAAATAAACGCCTGACATCAACACTGCTGGAAGACATTGAAGAGAGCCAGCTCCCAGAGATCTATGGAGGCAAACAGTCCTTGGTCCCCATACACGAAGCCTAGCTCGATCATCTTATTGTTCACCTTAATTAAAAGCATGTCACAACAAAAGAATAATAAATAAGCATGTCACAAAATGAAGGTAAAAAAATGTGACAAGCTCGATATTTCTGTCACCCCAAAATTCGTGACAATAATATAGTGTAGTGTATGTGTTTCAATGGTGATGCAAAGCAGGGAGAAAACTAAAACTAGTGAAGTTGGGGTTGTGGACATCTGATTAGTTGTAGGAAATATATGTATAAGATATATCCAAATCTTGTGTATTTTCGTACTACAATTCTAGCTATTAATAATAATATTAGAAATTGTCCAAAATAGGAGTAAAAACGCATTGAAATTCCAAAATATGAGTATCATGTTTTTTATTCCTTGAATAGGAGTAATCTGTCAAGTTTGAAAAAAAATGTCATGTTTAAAAGCCTAGTGATGCCAAACTTGGCAGAAATTTACTCATATTTAGGGAATAAAAAACATGATAATTCTATTTTAAAATTTCAAAACTTTTTTACTCCTATTTAGAGAATTAATAATATTGGTCACGAATAATTGATTTATTAATTAATTATTTTATTACGAGAGAAGTGGGTGGTGACCCTAGCTATTCAATTCATGGCATGGTAAACCGCGGCCGTCTCCCTTGAATAAGGGTTCCAGTTTTTGTCGTCTTGTGTGCGGCGTTTAGATTTAGTCGTCCTCTAGAGCGACGATTAGGTTAGCAGAGAAGAAATTGTTCGCATGAATATCGCTAGGTGTGCTGTGGCAGCCGATGGAGAAGGAGTTGCGAGAGTCAAGGGAAGGAGAAAGGGAGGTGTCCAGAGGGGCTGAAATTGCAGGGCAGACGGAGGTTGTGCGCCAGGGAATCAATCGAGCGATAAGCGGGAGTTGTGCCTTGTTTGTGTCAACAATCATAGCGATGATCCGGCCTCCTCCTGAACCACTGCCAAGGATGAACGAAGTGCTAGTGTTCAAGATATTTGTTTTGTTTATTTAGTTTTTTCTTGTTTTGTCCTCCTCATATTAGTTTTTATTATTTTATCATTTGGTTTCTTGTTACCGTCTACGTTGTTAGGTTTGTCGATTTGTTTGGTAATTCGGCCTCCTTTTATGTCATTGGGTATGTTTGGATCTATGGGAACAAAGATGTTGTGTCAAGCCCTCTGCATGATTATCGATTCGTGTTGCTCTTTCAGTGGTGACCGTCTCTAAGTCTGATCATAGGATTTACAGTTTTAGTTGTTGAAGTTTAGTTGGTGTCAGAATTGTTTTTTCTTTGATTGATGTAATGATCCTGAAACGATATGAATAGAGGCAAGTTTCCGTTCAAAAAAATAATAATATTGGTCACGCACTTCAAGCTGCTGTTTCACTTGCGTACTAATTAAAGCCAGAGTCCGTGTAATCAAATTAGTGAAATCGATTACTAGTATATTCATAGCTCGATCATATGGATTCATTTACTCGTATAACGCGTATTATTATCACGATCTTGCTTTCAATTGCATTTTTTGAAAATAAATTCTATTTGTTTGGTAAATAAAAGTTTAATTACATTCCAACATTACACAAAAGGCCTCGCTTATATATCCATCTAGCTCACGTTATTTGGAAAGTGACAGATTGGAAACTACCAACAGCCATCAAGAGGTTGTAAAAGCATTTAATGTAAGCAACAGATTGGCTTACAGAAACAAGTCATTTTAATCAAATAGCTTCTTTGAAAACTTCCGCGGAAACACATATTCTAATTACTCTAAGGTAACTACTTCGGTTCCTTTCTAAAAAATTGGATACCGTACCTATCATTTATTTGATTGGATCACACCACTTTATCATTTTTAATTTAGATTTAAATAATTCAATTTCTACATTTGATGCACACTAATTAGTAGTGCATAATTATATGTTTTTATTTTTGATTTATGTTGATTGTTTGACGTTTTATTTAGTTTGTAAACATTTATGTGATTTCAGCTGTAATTGTATTTTAATCTTTTTTTATAAGTTGTAAAGTATAGTTAGGATTTGTGGTGTTGGAAAGGAGGACTTTGAAGAAAAGAAAACAAGAAATTTGACTGCCCAGGAGTAAAACCCGACCGGGTAGAAACCCCCACCCGATCGGGTATGATTTAACAGACGAAATTGCCAAGAAAGTCACTGGAGCCGGCCGGGTCCCCTACTTGAGGTATTTTCTTAAACTTCTTCCCTTGAATATTAATTATTAGTTCTTTCCTTAATACTATCTCTATATTAATGTTAGGGAGTGTTGCTAAGATGACAATTAGCTAACATCTTGACATTAGTTATAGTAGTATTTTCTTCCTCTATATTAATGTTGGGGAGTGTTGCTAAGATGACAATTAGTTAACATCTTGATATTAATTATAGTAGGATTCATCTTCTTTAATAATATTCTTCCTTGAATATTAATTAATTCCTATTCATATTTCATATTAATATTTTGAACATTACTTAAAGGATCAACTAGTTTTGTTTCATATATTAATTATTACTAGAAACGATCAACAACCGATGGTTAATCGTTGATGGTTTCACAAGTAAGTAACTTCGGTTTATTAATGCACGGTCGTGGTTAATAAACTTAAGAGGGATTAATTTTGTTGTTTAAACCGAAACCGTTGTGTTGAGGTTATCAATCTCAATTGATTTCATCAAGGAGTTAGAAAGATTAAATGTTACTATTAAATCGGTATAAGGCGTTGTTCTATATTTGATTAATAGTAAGGGTTATTAATGAACGGTCGTTGTTAATAACTACCCTCGATGAAGTGGATATACTCCCCGGTTGAGTATTCGAGAGGGAATAAATTATAGATATAACAATGATCGACTAAAATATATCAACTAGTGGAAAGTAGCAATGCCAAGTCCTTTTTATCTTTGAATTAAACACATATAGGTTGTTCATCTTAGTTTCTTAATTAAATTAAATCATTCAAAACCAAAAACCCCCTTTTTAATTACTAGTTTCATAAAAAGAGAATCATTTCTTTCCCTGTGGATACGAACTCTACTACGCTATACTACGTATAAGTGTTTAGTATTGAATTTATTTTGACGCACCGTGACAAAGTGCACGTCAAATTTGGCGCCGTTGCCTGGGAAAGGCAATTACTTTTCTTTTTATTTTATCTCATAAAAATCAAAAACAAAAAAATATATATATAAAAAAATCTCGCTCTTCTATTTTATGAGCTTACATGAGCTATGAGTATATGGATACCAACACTTCATCCTTAGAGAGTCAAATTTCCTTCTTGACTTCTCTAATAAAGGAATTTATCTTAAGCTCAAAAGCTCAAGATGCCAAGACATGCAACATTTGCATGTCTTACAGGCATCTTACGAATTTCTGCCCAAAACTCCAAGATGAATACCTTGAACAAATTGATGATGTTGGTTACGAAAGGGATGTACCTCACATGAGGTATGATCCGTTCTCCAACTCTAACATATCTACGGAGGATATGGTCCGAGCTATTGCTACCAACATGACCACCATGCAAAACAACATGGTACAATTCCAAAATGAGACCAAGTCTAGCATTTTAAACTTGGAAACTCAAATGAGTCAAATAGCCGGAGCCGTGAGTAGGCTTGAAGAAAGGGATACGGAAAAACTTCCTTCTCAAATAGAATGTGATCCTAAATAGCAAACTTTTGCAATCACATTGACAAATGAAAAGGAAATGCAAAAGGAGATCCAGAATCCAGAAGAAGTGGAAGGAGAAAAAGATACGGAGCTCCAGCTGGTCAAAGAAGATGATGAACCGAGTTTCAAATACATATCCTTATCATTCTTTGAGGTACCCCCATCAGTTCTAAAAACTTTGAGGGCAACTCATAAATTTGAAAAGGAGAGTGACATTTTTGAAATTCTCAGCACAATTGAGGGATATCCAAACATTTTCCATTGACCATGTTAAACGATAATTTCTTTCCCTCACTCCCACCACATGAATCAATGAAAATCTGGATATTTGATCCTGGAGGGATTTTCAAAGTGAAGGGTCTGAAAATCAAGCATTCCTATGGAAGCCCTAGAAGTGAAAATGTGGCGAAGCTAAACTATCACGATCCAAGTTTAAATGATTGAACACAATGATGGCGTTGTGTCGCGACGTTAAATAAGGCGCTTCTTGGGAGGCAACCCATGCAAGGTACGTTTACTTGTTTTATTTTATTTTTACACATTTCCAAAAAAAGACTTGGGATTGAACCCGATCGGTATAAAACCCTACCCGGTCGGGTTACCTCTTAAAACACAGCACCCGGCCAACCGCCTAGGCGAGGCAGATGAAGAACAAAGAATAAATCAATCGCCCGACCGGGTAGACCCCTATACCCGACCGGGCAACCCAGCAAAAATCCCTCTGCCTCGGGTGAACAGCTTACGCCCGACCGGGTTAGTCACTATACCCGGCCGGGCAGTCGGGCACAAGCCCGATAAGGGTGCGGGCGGGCAGCTTTTCTTCCCCATTTTCTTTTCTTCCCATTCGAACCACACCCCAAATTTCCTCCATTTCCAAAAGTCAAAAGCTTCATATCTCCTACATCCATCCACCAACTAAACTCATTTCATTCATCACCTCTTCACCCTTTTCATCTCCACACCCACGAATCACCAATAAAACCCTCCAAAAAGTAACCAAAAAGAAAAAAACATTCATCTCAGACACAAGCACTAGGGACAGTGCTTTGATTAGCTTGGGGGGAGAGTTTTATGGAATACTCACATTCATACTCTTTATTCTTGTAAAAAAAAGAAAAAAAATATAAAAGCTTGTTAAGTTGAAAACCCGAAAGGGCAACTTAAGCAAAAATAAAGCAAAAATAAGAGTGAGTTGTGAGGATTAAAACAGAAAAATGTGGGAAGCTGGGATAAAAACCCGAAAGGGCACCTAGGCAAAATGAGAGAACGAGAGAAATATTTTCTTTTATTTCTGCAGGATCCTAAGGGTAACGAAAAAAAAAGGTTGAGGAAGAAATATGGAGTTGAAGACCCTCTTTACTGTTATATTTTTGGGGATATACTTTATGTGTTTCTAAAAACACTCGTGGATGTGTGTGTTGATATTCTTGTCATTTTAAGGACTTCTTGGATTGGATTTGATTTACTCGAGACGAGTAAAGGTTTAAGTGTGGGGGTATTTGATATGCACTAATTAGTAGTGCATAAATGTATATTTTTATGATTGATTTGTGTGTATAGCATTTTTTATATTTATATAGCATGTTTAGTCTCCAAATGAGGAGCTAAACTTCCATTTATTGGTGTTGCTCTTGAAGCTTGTTGATTATTAAAGTTGTGCGTTATTTTCTTAAACTTCTTCCCTTGAATATTAATTATTAGTTCTTTCCTTAATAGTATCTCTATATTAATGTTAGGGAGTGTTGCTAAGATGACAATTAGCTAACATCTTGACATTAGTTATAGTAGTAGTTTCTTCCTCTATATTAATGTTGGGGAGTGTTGCTAAGATGATAATTAGTTAACATCTTGATATTAATTATAGTAGGATTCATCTTCTTTAATAATATTCTTCCTTGAATATTAATTAATTCCTATTCATATTTCATATTAATATTTTGAACATTACTTAAAGGATCAACTAGTTTTGTTTCATATATTAATTAATACTAGAAACGATCAACGAACCGATGGTTAATCGTTGATGGTTTCACAAGTAAGTAACTTCGGTTTATTAATGCACGGTCATGGTTAATAAACTTAAGAGGGATTAATTTTGTTGTTTAAAGCGAAACCGTTGTGTTGAGGTTATCAATCTCAATTGATTTCATCAAGGAGTTAGAAAGATTAAATACTACTATTAAATCGGTATAAGGCGTTGTTCTATATTTGATTAATAGTAAGGGTTATTAATGAACGGTCGTTGTTAATAACTACCCTCGATGAAGTGGATATACTCCCCGATTGAGTATTCGAGAGGGAATAAGTTATAGATATAACAATGATCGACTAAAATATATCAACAAGTGGAAAGTAGCAATGTCAAGTCCTTTTTATCTTTGAATTAAACACATATAGGTTGTTCATCTTAGTTTCTTAATTAAATGAAATCATTCAAAACAAAAAAAACCCTTTTTAATTACTAGTTTCATAAAAAGAGAATCATTTCTTTCCATGTGGATACGAACTCTACTACGCTATACTACGTATAAGTGTTTAGTATTGAATTTATTTTGACGCACCGTGACAAAGTGCACGTCAACATTCTCATTGGTCCATTTGGACAAAGGTATGATACCTTATGAGTATCATAGAATCTACCTTACTCTAATGTGGACAAAGTAACAATAG